AGATGTGGCATTGAAATTAGGAAAACAGGCACACCCAAAAGTACGCATAAATGTGAAGTCTGGTGGATGATGAAATAATTTTTCAAATGGAGAAGCACCATTTAAATTAGGTGTAGGGATGTGATTGATAATATAGGTAGCAGTGAAAAAGGCATCAACCCAAAATTTATCTGGCATTTTGGCTTCAAAAAGCATAGTGCGAGTTAATTCCAAAAGATGACGATGTTTTCGTTCAGCAACTCCGTTTTGTTCGGGAGTGTCAGGACAAGACTTGCGGAATAAAATACCATGCTGAAGAAAAACATCACACATACCACGATTATCAAACTCACCCCCTCCATCACTTTGAAATTTTTTTTATTGTAGAGTTAAATAAATTTTCAACCATAGTTTTGAATTGTTTAAAATATTTTAGAACTTCACTTTTGTTGCGCATAGGATAGAGCCAAGTAAAGCGGGAATAGTCATCAATAAAAAGAACATAATATTTGAATCCATGGTCAGAAATAACAGGAGATTGCCACACATTAGAGTGAATTAAAAATAAAGGAGCAATAGATTTATGCCAAACATCCTGAAAAGGTAATCGTTATGATTTTCCTAAACGACAAGAAATACAATCATGGGAAAAATTAGAAGTGCTAGAAATAGACCCAAACTTTTTAAGTTTATCTAAAATACGGCTGCCACAATGTCCCAATCTACGATGCCAGACCGGTCCAGAAGGGGCAACTTGAGAGGTAAAAGCAACTGGTTGAGAATGGCTAAAGGAAAAACGATAAACTCCACCACTACTGGAAGCTTGAAGAAGCACCTCCCCCGAGATTTGGTCCTTAACACAAACAGAATTTTTATCAAAAATTACAAAACAATTATTATCAGCACATAACCTTTGAACTGATAGCAAATTATATTTGAGATGAGGAACATGAAAAACAGATTTTAAATGAAGAGGTCTAGGCAGAGAAGATAGTGTCACATTCCCGATAGTCTTTATAGGGAATTTAGTGCCATTTGCAACCGTAATATTAAGTGGTCCAGAATAAATTGATTTATTGTGCAAAATACCTTCATTTGAGGTCATATGAGCAGAGGCACCGGAATCAGGATACCAAACAGTCGGCGAGACTTCACCAGTAGGAACAGCTAATGCAGGAGATTGAGGTTGAGCAAAGTGAGATGGACACGTAACAGCAGAATGACCTGGTGAATGACATATTTGACAGACATTAGGTGGAGGAACAGTACCAAAACTATTCTCAAAGGTCGGAGATCCTGCATAACCATAGTTAGTACCAAAAGTAGATAGGGCAAAAGTATTAGACAATGACTCAACCGAATTACAAATAACTGTACCCGATGGACCCGAAGAGTAATGTGAGGCTTGCCCTCGGCCAGTAGGACCATGCGGATAAGGCGAAGGACCCTGGCCGTATGAGGGAGACTGATGCCCGTAGCCATGGGGCGCAAACTGCTGTTGCTGATGACGGCCACGCCCATGGCCTCCTCTGCCGCGCTGGCCTCCACGACCTCTTCCGACACGACCCCGTTGATGTGTTGGTTGCTGTTGAATGCCAGAGCCAGACCCGGCCGAAGCTCCTCCAGGACCCGAAGTGGCTACAAACGCAGGTGCAGTGATCGATGAGTCTAGCTTTTGTTGGAAGTTGAGACAGGCCTCCTGATGAACGAGCTTGTGGCACAATTTATCAAACGTGAGGCCTTCGAGAAAAAGAGTGAGAGGGCCGACTAGTGACTCATACCCTGGTCCCAACCCCAAAAGAGCATGCTGTAAAAGATCATGATCGGAAACCGGAGAGTTGATAGATGCTAAATTCTCTGCAATGGTCCGTATCTGGAGTAAACATTGTTCCATGGACTGAGTGTCTTTCTTTTTCATATGAGTCAGCATTTGTTTCAATTCCATGGAACGAGCCAGGCTAGCAGCTATAAAACGAGCCTCCAAGCGTTCCCAAATAGCTGTAGAATTTTTCAATTGATGAACCTCAATAAGAATATCACGAGAGAGGGTTGCAAAGAGCCAGGAACGAACAGTCTGATCCAATTTTAACCAATGGTAGTATTCAGGATTGACAGATTCAGCCTGATACAGATCATAGATATAAGGAGATGATGCCGGAAGGGAGCCATCAAGGATTCCTAAGAGACCAGTGGAGATCAGAAATGACTCAAACTGGGTACGCCAGGGCAGGTAATCTTCAACGGCAGACAATTTCGTTGTAACAATATTGGTAATGGAAGGAACTCCAAACCCCATGCCTTGAGCCAAGGCAGCAAACGACTCCGACATGGGTGGAACCACCGAACGACGACCAACAGGCCCTGCTTGTTGCGGAAGAACGAGACCCGGACTGCCGGATAAAGTAGGACCGACAAATCGATCGCGGATTGGAGCTGCAGCACTGGAGCCCATCTGCGACTCACCGGGTCGGTCAAATGAGGGCCGAAGGGTGGGGAGAGTTGGTGTCCAGGTAAAAATAGGGGGAACCCAGGATGATGGTGTCGGCGCAGAGATAAAACTGGAGGAGAACGGCAACGATGGAAGGTGCTCGATTGTCGGCGCTGTCGTCTGCGTCGTTACTGCGGCTGCGGACTGCGTGAAAGCCGCGCTAAGGACCGGCGGATCGCTCACCGGCGGTGTTGATGCGGCCGCGGTGGTACTGGATGCGGTAGCATCGGCGGTGTCCGTGGACGACATTGTGGACCGGAAAAAAAAATTATTACTGGCTAAAACCTAGGGCTCTTGATACCATGTGAGAATAATGACAGGCTTACCAATGTGGTAGCCCTGAGTGTCATATCTATAATAAATAAGAGTACAAAACATCATAGGAAACCTATAACAATAGGAAACCTATTACAAGGAAATAATTAAAGTAGGAAAAACTCCTATTAGGTAATAACTACATTATTACCTCTATCCCTTAAGACTTTGTCATCTTTGACTTTTCAAGTCAATGATGGTAAAGTTTGGACCATGATTTTGATTAGTATAATATTTGGAAAGTTATAAGTTTTATATTTTTATGAAAGCACTTTTAACAAAGAATATTTTCATATCATTTTTATATTATAAATAATTTCCTATAAAAACGTGTAATCGGTCATAGACGAAGCGTGAGGCTAGGGGCTAGTTCAAATCTGGATCAAAGGCAAGGAGTGGAAGATGCTTCCGTACTGTTGGACCGTCCCCCTCCTGAACCGCCGCCATGGAATGCAGGAGAGTTTAGAGTTTGGAAGCAGTATTTTAATTTTATTGTTGGCTTGCTATTTAATTTCCACGGTCAGACTGTTCTGTTTTATTTTTATTTTTTACTTTGTTGTAAGACTCTTGCATTAGGTTTGGGGGATGAGAGGTCTACGGTAATCGTCATTGGCTTTATGTTGCCCAAATTAGGTCTAGCGAGTTATATTACTTTGTCAATGGTGATTAACTCAGAATCTCGGCCAAGGGCGGATGGTTACATGTGGTCCTTTTGTTATCTTGTACCCGTGCTGAATGTTGTGATATTAATTTAAGTCAGCTGTTTGACGAACAAAAAAAGTCCTTAATGTGGATAAATTTATCAGCTATATGTCTAGATCTTGAAGTGAGAAAAGTTACGGGACTAAAGTACTATATCTCCCTATTTTTTCATGTCCCAAAATTATTTCATTTTATTTTTCTTAATTGATTAATACAATATCATTTTATCCTTTAATTTTAAGTACCGGTTTGCAATCATTTTATTCTCTAGTTTTGATAGTCGATCCATAATCACTGTAGATATGTGATCATTTGTGTTTCAATGGAATTTTGACATAGTTTGTAGATATACTTCTCGCGTTCTTTAAAAGTTGCAACATTGGGATTTTTGGACTATTCACACACCTTATTTTGACTACGATTTTCTAATAATATATAAAATTAAATTATTATGTACAAAATGTTATTAAAGTTAGGATGTTTTTACTTGGACTGTAATTCGTCCCAGACCAGACCAGACGAGACTAGATCAGACCAGACCAGACCAGACTTGGATAGTTATAAAAATACAAAGAAACCAGACCAGATACTAGATCAGATCAGACCAGACCAGCAAATTACAGTCCAAGTAAAAACACCCTTATACTAATGTAAATTTCCAAAATATTAACTTTTTTTAATGTTTACTAATACATAATTAAATATATTTACAGTCAAAGTTGTGCGTTAGCTAACATGAAAGTCAAATTGATGCAACTTTTAAAGAGCGGAGGGTACCTTTTTTGCAAAAATAAATTGAGGAGAATTAACTTAATGAGTTAAACAATGGTTTTAGAGGTAATGCTAACATTTATCGTTCGAAGCCAATGAGAGAGTGACAAAATTAGACTTTTTGCACTATTCACGCATTATGCTTTGACTACATTTTCTTTCTTGATGTATTATAAATTAAATTTTTAAAAATATTTTTAAACTCCTCTAATTTTAAATTTTCAAAATCTTAAATTTTTAATTTTATTAGTAATAAAGAATGAAAGATATTAATGGTCAAACTTGTGCATTCACAAGCGTGAAAAGTGGACCGTTGCAATTAAAAAAAACGGAGGAAGTATACTATATAGAACAATGGAAAAGATTGACTAACGATATAATTAGCCGTAAATTGTAATGTGATAATATGTGATATATCTCTTACGTATTAATTGGCCTGAAGTTATTTAGGATATTTTTAATTGGACATAAATTTGCAGTTTCATTTGATTTGGTCTGATGTGGTTTGATTGGTGTGTTTAATTCTGATTTGATTTGGTTTGATCTAAACTAGTACAAGTATAAAGAAGTGAAGACATTACTATTTTATGCCTTTCATTTCCAACAACGTTGAAAATAAAGAATGAAACCACTTGATGTCTTGATGTATATGTTGTGCAAAACTGCAAAATAAGAAGGAAAACAACGTACTAAACAAAACAACTCCTAGAGGCATAATTGTTGCACAAAAACTCAGATATAACCCCCCACATCACAGTAACAAAAACATCCCCTATCTTAATGACAATAATGTAATGTAGCTAAGAATAATCAAGTAAATTTATAAATAAATAAAAAACATTATCACAGAAGTTAATGTTAACTGGAGACCAAACCCAAAGCTATACACTCAACAAAAAATACAATGTAGGTTAGAAGTCACTACAAACAGAATTGTATATAAATATATAATGTTCTTTTGGTTGTTTTGGTTTTGCTTTTTTCTTTGTGCAGTTGAAGAATGGTGAAGAGAAATAAAATACAACATGGTTGGGAAAGAATCTTCAAGGTCGCCAAGAGGTTTTTCGTGCACAAAGGATACCCTCCTTATTTTGAGCAAATGTCATTCGGATCTCCCAATTCAAGCTCTTCAATATTTTTTCGAGTGAATCGAGTATCTCTACTTTGTCGCGTACAATGGCCCAACCTCCAGGTCTTAATATACGATCCATCTCAACTACAATAACTACCGGCTGCTTACACCTGTGCACAAAATAACACATTTAAATCAAAACCAGAAGCCTTTTTCATTTAGGAAAACACAAGTTATATTGTTGTAGACATTAGACATATATTTTAACCTGTTCTTGAGCCTTGAAAACAGATGATCGGCGTGAAGAAGGTCATAGGATCTCGGGTAAGTCCCAAAGGACTCACACCAGTCATGGTAAATGCCAACCAGACCACGTTCAAAGATTATTGGAAGGGTGTCAGGAGCATGTATGGGTGGGACCACATTCATTACCCAAACCTCCTTCTGCCTCCTCCTAAGAGCAGCTGCAAACCTGCACAACTCCAAGTTAGACAGTCCATAAAATACAAACATGGGCAAAACGGTTCGCACAAGCTTCTTTTTGTGGGAATAATATTAACACTCCAGGTTCTAACCTAAAATATCTAACCTTTTTGGAGGAGCAACTTGATGTCTGTATGTAAGTTTGTATCTCTTTATTTCATTGGGGGTTTACATGACCGCGAGATGATGACTTGATGGAGCACAACAATGTTGAAATATATTGACTCTTATTTAATCTTAGTTGGATCAAGTTGCTCGTTTGAGCCCACTGGGCTCTAGAGATTTCATCCTAAAAAGTCTAAGGAGAAATAATTAAATATCATATATGTGTGTTTACAACTTTTTATCATGCCAGTGTAAGGTGTCTTCACAATAATTTTAGCTTGCTTACCCTCCATTGATTGCTTTCATGTCCATTACAATCCTAATGTTCGACCAGTCAATTCCAAATCCAACCAAGTAAGATTTGTCTAATATATCTTTCCAGTGTTCATCATCAGAAATCAGCTTTTCTCTATTGTTGCTCATCATCCAGTCAGGAAAGGTTTCGAGTCTCTTAGGCCATTCTTCAGGCCATTCAGTCCCTCGTTCTTCAATTGCTGATGGAATCTGATGCAAACAGGCTTTGATGGGCGCATTCCTGAAACGGTCCCCAAAAAATCATGAACGGCGTGGGTAGATAATAGAACAGAAATGCTCAGAGGAATTTCTCCCTTTCTTCTTACCAGGCAGCATCTGGGTTGTCTTTTACATTGCATAGAGGGGGAACCTTTTTCCTTCTCAGTTCATATATATCATTTGATTCAGGCTTTTGATAGATTTTAACTCCTATATCGCTGACATCATCAGTTTTGTCAGCCAGTACATTCCAACAAATAGATGATGTAAGTGTGGACATAGCTGGAAAACAACAAAAAACGGATTAAAAGAGATTGTAAGATACTATAGTCATTTCATTTTCATTTACCCTAGTGCCGCAAAGGCTCCCACCTACGGTGGGGTAAGGGGGGTCGGATGTACGCAGTCTTACCCCTGTACTAAAGCACAGAGAGACTGTTTCCGGATGACCCATAGTGAAAATCGCGTCCAAAATTGCATGGACTGACTGTTGCTTCATAACAAAGAAGCACAGACAGTTTAGTGAGCCATTTTGCTTTATTCCATCATATTCTCAAGCCAAAAAATAATGAATCTTTGGCTCCATTGCAAATGATGGAAAATTGAAAGATACTATAGTAATCCTTCTAAATCCACGGGACAGTTTGGTAAGTTATTTGGCTAAAATTACTGAATCTGCTGGAATTCTATAAGAAATAATTTTTGGTTAACATCTATTTTAGCAAGACAAAAGCTACTTGTAATGCTCATAAGCAGAATGAGCCGATTATAGCTACCAAACGCAACCTATGTTTATATTACGTCTGGATTGCAAACTAATATTAACCCTCATTAATCATAGATGGGGAAATTAATATAAAGGTCAAACCTTCTTCAGCCTCAACACTATTGTGCTTGGTCGACAAAATAAAATAACCTCCGGGTCTCAGGATTCTGTTCACCTCAAGAAGGAGTTTGCCCCCTGAATGTGCATGTAAAAGAACGGTTAAAGAAAGCTCAGTTTTGTCAACGAAATGGGACTAACGATGAGAGAACTTACAGACCATTAGAGTGCCAAGAAATGGGGCATTCGCCACAATGGATTGTGTCAAAAACCCCACTAGGGAAAGGAAGTCTGTGGCTTGCAAATGGGGAAACTAGTGCAGGGAACCCACGTTCCAGGGCAACTTGTGCAAGGTCAAAAGGGTCATCTTTCAATCCCAAAGTAAGTGCTAATACATCCTTCTCAACTAGAGAAGCAACAAAACTTGAGTCTTTGCATCCAATATCCAGCACTACACGGATGTTCTTTCCCCATTCTATGTCGGGTACCATCTATCAAATACACACATTATAATGAATAGTAGTAGACTAGTAGTAGTAGTAGTAGTAATAATAAATTAACAGCTACTGATTGGCGATGAGTTCAGCCCAACCAACAGGCCAGACAAAGCCATTATCGCCAAGTATTTTTCTAATTTTCTTATATTTGATTTGAGCTTGTAAAGGACAAAGGAAAGAAAATCATTAATTTTTTTATTCTTTTACATTAGATTTCTTAGTCTTCACTTAATAGGAATCGGTATATAAATATGAGTTTGAAAAAATAGTGAAAGTAAAGTTATAGAATTTGCACGAATGTTTTAGTTTCCTTGACATTTTATTTCCTTCCAAAATTACTCCTGTTTTTTCCTCCCTAATTTCTTTGCCCAAAATTTCATAAGTTCCAAATGGACCCTAAGCGAAAACCATAAACAACAATTATGTACATGCCCACCACAAAATTCATTATAGAATCGAATGTCTGACAATTTTAGTAATAAGAATAAACATTTGGTTCACACAGATGATCAGATCGTAATAATATAACTAATGGACTGGATATGTCAGTTAAAGATTTAAAGTAACTAAGCAACTTACTTCCTGAATGGATTCCAGGTAGTGCAGAATTCTTCCCTTGGAAGCTGATTGGTTCTGTGGAAAAGTGAGATATTCTCCAGACTCCATTGCCCAGCTTTGTGTCTTAAGAAATTCAGCTAGCTTCTGGTGCACAATATTCTTGTAAATTATCTACAAATGATTTTGAATAAATAAAAATGTGAATTTAGTAGCCCAACAGAGAAAATTACACAAAAAAACTATTTTACAGTTTGCTACACCTTAGACATGCTTTCAGGCCAGCCAACTGGAGTCTGATAACCATAAGGGGGAAGAGAAACAAGACACATTTGATTTGCCCTACGGCAATTCCTCTCAGGATGCCTTCTATACCTTTTCACCTTACCCCCTCCACTCTCATCAATGTCAATGCAAGGGATAAAGTTATGCTTGCTCCTTGTGTTACACAGTTCCCAGCTGTAATGTGCATTTGGACCAAACAATGTTCCAACCAATTTCTTGTTTTTCTTACCTGCCCCTCCACCCTCTTCCTCCTCCTCATCTTCTTCCTTCACATCCTCCCCATTCCCACTCTCCTCCTCCTCTTCCTTTACTTCTTCTTCTTCTTCCTCTTCTTTTGGTGGTGCTACAGATCTCTTATCAGAATCATCTTTCTTATCTTCATCAACTTCTTTGGGCACCCCAAAGATTTCCCCTTTCACTTCCCCGCTACTTCCCTTTTTGCCCCCATCGTCTAATTTCAGCTCCTTCACACCAGATTCAGACTTTACATGTCTTTTTTCGTCCTTTTTCTCAACTTCAATACCAGTAACTTTTTCTTTCTTTATGTTCCCAGAAATGGGTTCTGCAAATGTCTCTCTTTGAGAGGTGACAGAGTAAGAAGAAGGCGAAAAGACAGACCAAATCACTACGAAACAGAGACCCAAGATTACAACTGCAATTAGCTTCAGGCGGAACCCATATGTATGATATGCACGCTTCACTTGGCGACCAAACCTTGAAATAGCCATATGCCCTTTCTCCTAGAATCTTTGAGCATATGAGAACAAAAAACCAAACATAGTATCGGAATATAAGGAAAGATGAAGAATGTGGGGTGAAGTAGCTGTACTGCCGACGAGTTCAACTTTCAAGTGAAGGAAAGTGAAAGGTTAAAGCAATTTGGAGTAGCATGGGGTTGAAGCCATTTCGCTCAATTGAATACGGAAGTAACTAGTTTTAACTTTTAAGAAGATGAGAGTTTAGATGAATTGAGTGACCCAATTACCATGTAGTGAGTAAATTTTTCATTTTAATGAGCCTGACATAATTTTTAGTCCCAATAAATAAGACACATTTTATTTTATATACTTGTATACTACTTTCGTCCCAAAATTTTTTATCATTTCAAAAACATTGAATCATGATTTTGATTAATATAATATTATGAAAGTTATAAATTTTATACTTTTATACAAGTAATTTTAACAAAAAACATTTTCATATATTTTTTATATTATAAATAATTTCTAATAAAAATATAGGGAGAATGAACAAATGTACCCTTGAACTTTATATGTGATTGCAAATATACCCTTCAACTTTATTTTGGAACAATTAAACACATAATTGTTAAATTTGGAACCAATATACCCTTTGAACTATGTATTAGAGAATACAGAAATGCTCAGGTCCATCCGGAGGGACGGGAGGCTCCGTCCGAACTTTACTGTTTGAGGCGGTTCTCGGTGGAATTTTTTGATGTAATTTTTTGAGCATGTTCCTCATCAATTCTAGTTTATCCATACCAAATTTCATCTCAAAATTCGATCGGGAAGGCATTCAAATAATTTCTTGAAACTTACTGCACATTATATGTGCGCAGAATGTGTAGTATGTTTCAAGAATTTATTTGAATGTCTTCCCGATCGAATTTTGAGCTGAAATTTGGTATGGATAAACTAGACTTGATGAGGAACATGCTCAAAAAATTTCATCAAAAAATTTCACCGGGAACCACCCCAAACAGTAAAGTTCGGACGACACTTCCCGTCCCTCCGGATGGACCTGATCATTCCTCTTAGAGAATATATATGCTCCTTAACTATATACTCCGACACTCCGTATATCAAAGAACATGTGTATCCCCTAACCATTTGAAAATAAGGGTATATTTGTTTAAATTTTACAACTTTTGTGTTTAATTGTTCCAAATGTAAGTTGAGGGGTATATTTGTTCTCTTAGATATAGTTTAAGAGTATATTTGTACCTTCTCCCTAAAAATATATGTTAGTTAAAGTTTTAAAAATGAAAAGGTTTTTTGGGACGGATGTAGTATATTTTTAAAAATGCCTAAAGTATGTGTAAAACATAAGGAAAGCGTAAAAATAAGAGTTCATGTTTTAATTTTCCTATATTTTTAGAGATGAGGGTTTTGGGAGATTGTTGCTAGCAGCAGCAGATAGGGGTGGTTCGGTACGGTATACCGAATATTTTCTCTCATACCTTTGCCGTACCAAAACTTTCGGTATACAAAATTTATATACCGTTACCTTACCGAAGTTTCGGTATACCGCATTTCGGTATACCGAAGTTTCGGTACGGTAACGGTACGGTATCAGTAAATTATCATAGACTAATAAAATACACTATACCGGTGTTACTAGCGATATATTTAATCCATTATTAAAATGTTTCAAAATACAATTAATAATCTATTGATGTCATATTTAATATTGAACAATAATTATTTTTAGAATATTTAAGTAGTTTAACATGCCACGTATTAAAAAATAATACATTCTTCTAAAATAACTTGAATAATATAGATATAATTAAATCAATAGTGACCTCTAACGAAAATAAATAATTTTTTTCAAACAATATGGATATAAAATCATTTATTCCTAATATGATTGTGTATTTAGTCATTTTATAATTTTTAAAAAATATTTAAATAAGACTTTCGGACAAAGTTGTATGTTTTCACTTGCGGAATCCCTATGTAGATACACTCGTCAGCGGCTCACACTCGCACTTGTGTCTAGACATTAGTACATTTCTCATTAGTCATTAGGGTAGTTTATTTAATTGTTACGTAATAGAAGCCTAGAAGGTTATAGTGGGTTTGGGAAATTAGACCTTTATTTTTGTATATTGATATTTGTAACCAACCTAAGTATTAAGTTTAGGCTTCAAAGTTCTAATGGACTTTTACAATATTTTAGAATTTAAAGTAATTTTTGGGTAGGGAGTCGGTACGGTATTAAACCGGTATACCGCGGTATTTGAAAACACTTACCGTTACCGTACTGAAATAAATCGGTATGGTATGATACCGTACCGAAAATGATGGTATACCAATATTCCAGTATTTTCCGGTATTTTTCGGCACGGTAAGTGCGGTATACCGATTTTTCAGTATTTTTGCCCAACCCTAGCAGCAAAGATCCGGTGATCAGTGACGATAGTCTACGAGTGGCAGCGGTGGTTGTTTGGTGGTGGTGATTATTAGATTTAAACCCTACAAGTGTGCTTTTGTCCAACCATATTACTTCTATTCAGAAAATTCTAAATATTAACTTCTATTTTTTTCATTTTGGATATGTTTTACTCCTATTGTCAGAATACTCATCAATGCTCTTAGTGTTATTTTAACTCTATAATGTATAGCATTTTCTTTTTACTCTTTCTCTAACACAAAGATAATTTTCATCGAGTCAACGTTGTCTGGTTGTTATTATCAATGACAGAATAAAAAGAAAAGTAGTATGTGGCATTAATTAAAACGAGAAATCCCCGAAATATGAGTAAAAGTATTTAGTAATTCCAAAATATGAGTGTTATGTTTTTCTTTAAATAGGAATATGTTATTGTTATCCTAAAAATTTATTGTCATGTTTTGGTATTACCCATTTTCAATTAGGGTGGTATAGTGTCATAAGTGGCAAAAATTACTCAGGTTTGAGGAATACAAACATAGCGTTGCTATTTTAAATGATCATTTTTAGGGTACAACAACATATTTAAGGCTTGAACAAATAAATACAACTAATCAATTTTCCGAAAAAATCATAAATAACTTTAAAAAGATTTAAGGGTTATACCAAATTACTTTTCAATAAATAATACTCCTATATATTTTAGGATTACTCAATAATATATACATTTCTGTACTGAACAAAAAATAAAGTCCACTTTGCACTCTAAACTTGAGGGAAAAAATAGTTTTTTTAATAGGTGAGTATCCCGTTACCATCATGTCACCTGATAAAGTATTAATTATGCTTGTAATGAGGAAGTTAAAAGTTTAATTAAGTCCTTGAACTCGTACGAACTGCTCAATTCAACTCATGAACTTAAAAGAGTTTCATCATTGATGTATATTTAAAATTCAAAATAGAATAATGTAAGATAATAAAGAATAATTCCTGGTATATTACTAAATATGACTCCAATTGAGTTCAAATTTTATATCATAGTGACCATAAAATTATACTTGTAGTAACTTTAGTCATATGTTTATTTATAAATTTTACTTAATAATATTGTAGGAAAAATCACTAAAGACAAAACATAATGCAGTATATAGATATATATACAAAAAAAAATTATTTATAATGTGTGGTTAATTAAAAATATAAATAAAAAAATATTAAAAACAAAAATAAACTTTATACGTTGTTATATTAAGAGCTCTACATTATAGAGCTAAAATAATACTAAGAGCGGTGTTGAGATCTCAGACAGGTGATTTAGTTGTTGGTTGTCATTTCCTAATTGTTGCTTTGTTTGCAACTGAAGCGGAACTTTTGGCCTTACATATTTCAATCTCTTAGGCGCTTCAGCTTGGTTTTCGGGGCTTTGAGGCTGAAACCGATTCTCAGGTGATTTTGGAGTTGCTTGATGATACTACCTGGAACGGGAGGTGGAAGTCGTTGTTGGCAGATCTAAGGCGGTGGTCGGTTGACTGCCCGGTATCTTTCAGACACATTTATCGTGAGGCTAATTGGGCTGCCCATTTTATGGCAAGCTAATTTCCTGATGGGGATGAAGTTATTTCCTATTTTCGGCCCATCGAGCTTCCGGTTTTGGTTCGTAGGTCCATCTTGGCGGATAAATTGCAACTTTCTTATATTAGGCATTACTAATTCTTTGATAATGTTCTGTTATTTTGTTGTAGCTATGGGTAAGGTTTGGTCCCCCCATGGTTTTTTCTACTTTCCGTATTTCTTTTACTTTCGTCTCTTGTTTTGTGGAAGGTATGCCTTCCGGGGAGGTTTTGGTCTAATCCCCCTCTTCGTTTGTATTCGTTCTTTTTCTCATCAATAAAACTCGGCAAATGTTCTCCGGCATTTGCCCCACTGAATTTGGTGGTTTGCCTTCCGGGTTAAAAAAAAGAGCATTTATAAAGTTGGGGTATTCCGTCCATTTATAAAGTGTGTCTAAACTAGTGTGTAGACACTTGTCTAGCACTTTTTTATGTTAAATATGATAAACCACCATTTTGCAATCTCAATTGCTTCTTGAAGCAGATTCCAAACCTCTTGATCAAGAGAAACTTTAGGGGCCAATAACTGATTTTTATGTTCAGTCTTCGGCCTTGTTTGGTAAATGGCTGTTAGCTGTTGCTGTTAGCTGGTTGTGTCAGTTGTTTCCTAACAGCTGGTTGTGTTAGCTGTTTTGGCCGGCTGGTTATGTTAGCTGATTATAAATAACTCTTTGGTAAAATTGGCTGTTTCAAAATGGTTGATGGAGTGTAAATTGAACTAGCCGAATGAAGAAGCTGCTCCTCTTAGCTTCTTCAACCATCCATTTTTTCAGCTTTTCAAACTCAACAAACTAATTTTATAAGTCATTTATCAAACATTATTATAAGTTTCTTTGACTAATCAAACAGCTAAAATGGGTCAAACAAGCTAAAAGCTGGCTCATAGGCCATTTACCAAACATACCCTCAAAGTTCAAACATAATCTTTTAACTTTTTTATTATTAAACTGATGTTTTTTTGTTGTTTCGTTCACTTTTAATGTTTCCGGTAAATTTTTGTTGTTAAGTGCTAATTTGTTTTTTTAATGTGAAATTTAAAAGGCTTCAAATGCACTGATGAGGATTCTGACAATAGGAGTAAATCAGTTAAAAGTGAACATCAAAGCAAATCAGTTAAGAATCCTCAACAGCTTATAAATACAAAAATGTACCGGAAAC